ATTTTAGGGTTGATGAGGTGAAACCGAGGGAAAACAGCATCCTCCATCACAGCTGCATCAGAGACTACATTTAAATTTGAACAAGGACGCCGTTTGGTTTCCTCTCAGTTTATCGAGTGTGTGCGTGCGTGCGTGCACAGTGGGTTAAATGGTTTTTGTTTTCTTGCTTTTTTTCTGCAGCATGTTTATCGAGCTGTTATTTTTCTCCTCAAAGGAAACGCTGACTCATCTCTTTAAATGCTCATCTCAGCAGGGCGACCGAGGGACAAGAACACATAATTACAGTGTTGTGCAGTGCCCCCCCAAGTCCATCAACACTTCTCTCTATTTTCTCTCGTCCTCTGTCCCTACTTTGATTTTTCTGCGTGTGCCTCCTCCCTCGGCTGATGTGAAGTTAATCAGGAGGTGGTAAAAAGTGTTTAAGCAGCTGGAGAGTCCACCTCTAACAAACCCAGGGAGCAGTGTGAACGCTGCACAAACTGAAGCATGCCGGGAGCCCGGGGAGCCGCGCCATCGGTTAATTAAACACTGACTCACATGGATTCAGTTGGAAACAACCTGCAGGCGGCATAGACTGCTGTGCACAGGGGATTCAGTGAGGTTTACTCGTCTCTCAGAGTTCAGCGAAAGACAGAAAACGATATTCAAAAATAACATCTTGAAAAATATATTGGACAAACAGCTGGAGCTGTAAAAGTAACAGCAGTAACCACATCCACTGTTTCTTTTCCTTCCCAAACACTCATTCATTTACTGATCTAGAAAGGCCCATCGTTCACACTGCACTTCACATGACATGAGCCAGTCACATCCATCAGCTTCTGTGTATCAAAAATTCCCAGAGTAACCAGATTATGCAGGTAATCAGAACATGCTAGCAGTGGTAGAAAGTGGTGTGTACGCATGCACCGTGTATCCAACGCGACAACAAACACGTCCAGCTCTCACTGACACCGCCTCACACTGAAACTCATGAACAGACAGCGAGACACTGCAGGGTCTGAAAATTTGGACTCGCATACTTCCTGTTTATTCACAAGCTTCATCACAACTGTCAGCTGTCAGCATCCCTCCAATCAGAAGGCGCAAACTGCACCAGTATCACCAGTAGGCAGGAAGGTGCATGTCCACCAGGACCATACACGGGCACTGGGGGGGGCCTATCTGTGCATGTAACTGCTGCCCCCCCACGACAAACATCAGTGGGGCTTTCCCTGGTAAAATAAAGGTTAAATTGGATGAGAAGGAATTCCTCCTGATCTTCCTTTTCATTGTACTGAAGTGGGAGTAAAATGTGTACTTACTATCTAGAGACACCTTAGCAGCTAATCATCTCATTTGATTAACGCTGATCAAAACAGTTAACGACGTCCTGGAGCCTGGGGAGGCTTGAAGCGGAAACAAGATGGACTGTTTCTCTGAATGTTGTTTAACTTCACATCAGCAGTGCAGTGGAGTATTGATAAAGTGTAAACACACTCCCACGCAGGCAGCCCTGCTTCCTTCACTTCAAACCACAGCTCGCTTTCCCTGGAGTTTCTGTCTCTGAAGCTTCGAGTCAGACTGAAGCACAGGCTGCTTAAAGAGCTTCTCTTTAAAACATGAAAGGACGTCTGCAGGGAGAGGAGTGATTTAAAATGTGGGATGGAGCGACTGGAGGAGAAGCAGTGGAGCCTGAGGGACCGAGTGGAAATCGAAGACAAGATGACGATACGACACTGCCCGGATATCTGATCTGGTACCTGTGCCACCTGCATCACCATATCTGACTGAGTGAAGCAGAAAGTGGGAAATGTGTTAACAAAGGAGAAACCAGTCAGGTAGTCAATCTGGAAAATGAATTCTGATGAACAGACCTGTGAGCTTTTAAACACAAACACGACCAGTACACCAGTGTGCCAGCATTCGGATTTCAAAGCACAAAATCTTCTCAACTGCCAGAAAGAAAAAAAGAGTTCAGGCTTAAAACACCTGCAGGAAAACAAAGGACCAAACTGTTCCAGTTACTAGAAACGTGCTACAGCAGTAACCCTTTGAATTAGGCTTCTCTACATGTGCACACTCAATGTGCCTGCACGGGGGGAAAAGGGAAATGATACACTAAGAAAGTTTAAAACCCCCAAAACAAACGTTTGCCTTCTGGTAGACTTTGAAAGGCCACCAGCAGCGGACCTTGATGAAACTTGGAACAACACGTGACCACTTCTCTTCTGTCAGTGACAAATGCTGGATGCTCACTCAGCTCCTGTAGGTTTCTATCTGGGGCGGGTTCTCAGCCACTCCGAGCAGTCTGGTGCCGTTAGTTTTGATTAGGAACCAGAGGAGGAGGCTGAACCCATCTGGAACACAACCTGGGGTGTGCAGTCAGAAAAGCACACACGCTGATGAAGAAAAGTGTGTGTGGAAGGAAAGTTTGGGTAAATCCCTTAATTCCATCCACGTTTCCCACATCTGCATCTTTGCCTTGTGTCTTAGTCTCGCCGACATCAGATAAGAGGAAACACGTTTTTACAAACATGAGAAATCCTTTAGTTGGATCCTTCATCTGAAGCATCCAATCACCAACTGACGTCCCATAAAGTGGTGTGTCAGTCCAGAAAAGACTTCTGTATCCTCCAGGTAGCCTCCTCACAAGGAACGATCATATAAGAGACTTGAGATGCAGCCTGTGTGCGTACCTGTCCACTAGGGGACAAATCAGGGCTGAAGCACCAGAACATCTTCTTTTGTCGAATCCTAAATCAAACGGAACGACATTTGACGGGTTGTTAAACTGTTAATGTTCAGAACACGTCAGAAAAAGCAGCAACAAGCTCTGTTAGCTTCTCTTTAAAACCTCAGCCTGTGTCCATGAGCTTCAGTTTGTCTTCTGGATGCACTTACGCCTGAGGACACACACAGTCAACACTCTGCAGAAAGGCAGCAGGCCAGAGAGCATGCAAAGACAATGGTAGAAGTAAAAATAACAGGGGCTGAAACATCATCGAGGGGTAAAAACTGAATTTAGCAGATAACCGGCTTCATGGGGAGAAACATTCCACTCCTGTCCAGAAAGTCCATCAGTTTGTGCACATTTTCAGAGCTTGAGGTGCAGCTGCACTGCCAGAACCTTTGCCAGTCATATTTAAAGACCCAGTTGACTTTATTAATGTGTCACAGATGTATACTGACTGTTTTGTTAAGCACCAAATAAAAACTAATTTTAAAAAGGCAGCATTGCTCAGAGGCAGCAGGTTCAGGTGTCCCAGCAGCAGCTGACTCAAGGTGAAACAGTCCAACCTTCAATGCAGGAGAGTTAGCCGTTGTGTGATTTAAGATTTACCTTGCATGCTGTGTTTCATGAAGTGCATATCAGAAACAAAGCCAACTGAAATGTAACATACAATGAGTCTATGAATTGAAACTTTCCTGGCCAAATATGACTTCACGTCACTCATCTCAACATCTTTCCAGATTTTACTCTTATGAATTTGTCTCCTCTTTTGAATGAGCCTGTCCATTGAAAGTGACCGCGCTCTCAGCGTCACATTTCTCTGCAGCCTCCAACGGTTCCAGCACAGCAGCAAAACAAAGAAGTGCAGAAAAACCAAATGACTGAAAGACCATCTCACAAGGGATCATATAATCAGACAATTAGTGTCTTTGGTAGCTAGTTTTAATGGAACTGCTGCCTTACTGATAACAGTCACGGCAGAGTCACACAGGACTCCTCCTAAAACCCACAGCCGTCCTCGGTTCAGCCTGACCTCTGACCCCTGATCTCTCACAGCAGTGCTGAAGCTTAATTAAACCTGCTATCTCTCAGTGCAGCAGTAAGTGAATTATGTGCTGGTGTGTGCAGGGTGAGCTGTTCCCACCGGTTCCCTCCACAGAGGGAACCTCTGCGGGGCTGCCATGCAGCTGCCTGGCTGGAAATCCCAGCTCTGGCTGCCGCAACATCGTGCTCGCCCCCGGCTCTAATCCGCCCAGCAGCAGGCGGCAGTGGGATTTGGAGAAGTTTGGCTTTAATTTCCATGTAAACAGAGAGTGAGGATAAGGCCGGGGGCAGCTGGACTGTCACTCACTACCAGCTTGACAGAACAGCAGAAGTGCTGACTCACAACCAGCGTGAAATTACATCGCTGACAGTACTGCAGCTCAGCAGTACTACTGTGTTAACACTAACTGAGCTGCACGTGCATTTCCAGTGTGCTTGTAAAATACTGCGGGCCTTGTTTCAACTGTGCCACAACAAAGCTTGGCGGTGCACAGCACAGACTGTGAGGCAGCTCAACAGACAAGGAGATGCTTCTTGACACAGAGAGGAATGCAACAGGAAGTCGAGCACAGAGCCAGATAAAGGCAGATTTATGAAAGTGTTCAAACTGCAGGAACAGCCAGCACCGTTTCCCCGGGTTCATCCTTTTTACCAAATCGTACGAAACATTTTTGTGGGCCTATTTTTCTTGTGTGACTTTTAGCTGTGGAAGAGGCCCATGCAGCAGCAGTGTGCTGGAGGTAATCCTGAACAGTCGGTCTCCTGTGTAGTGACGGTGTGTTAATTACTTTGCCTACACATTCCCTGACAGTGTTGTCTGAGCCCACATTGTTCATTTCTTTAGATTCATCCATTTATTGTAATAGATTTTTAAGCCTGCTTTTAAACCTTATTTCTATTTAATTCATCTATTCCATTCTGTGATTTACATCTTTATTTATGGTGCCACAGTTTATTCTGGGTCTTGTGTATTTAAGTGTGATCTGGAAACCATTCAGGAAATAATGTGCACGTGCAGAGCATTGCAGCATGAACACGCAGCCAACAAATCTGCAGTCACAGGCAAACAGTATGAGCCCCCTACAATTAAACAGCAGAGCCGTGACAGAAATACATTATTAAATGTTGGTGAAGCCATTTAAGCCTGTTTCACCACGGCGAGCTGACATCAGTCTTATCTGACTTTTAATTCTCCAACAGCTTCCACCTAAGCTGAACCACAGACGTACAGGTGCCAACTCACCTGTCAGCAGCGCCGCTTCCTCTCTTGGCTGTTGGGGTGCGACTGGCCTTCGGCTCACCGTTCATCCCGGTGTCTGAAAAACAACCCATCAGATCAGGTTAGACATTGACAGCGGGCATCACACCACCTGACAGTGACAGTGATGAAGGTGGACAGGTGTCACCACCTGCTCCAACAGCTCCAACCTCTCCACCCACACCCAGACCCAGTGAGCTCAGCTGGAGACCTCGACGAGCAGCCTGAGAGTCTAATTGGCCTCCATCTGTCAGACTGGAGTTAATTTCCTCTCCCATTTATTCTGCCTCGCTCTTTTCAATAAACACATACATTTCTGTCCGTCAGAGAGAGACGGGCGTCCCCAGGCCACACGAAGAGGATCTGAGTCGATCTCAGGTTGACTTAGAAAACACCAGTGTTAGGTTTCATAAATGAAAACGAGTTTTCAAGACAAAGATCAAAACTAAATAAAAAGCAGGCTAATATTTGATAATAAGAACTCCACTGAAAAGGTTTACATTTTCTGTTAACTTGTTAAAGACTACACAATAAGATGGACAAATGGACATGTAGTAACTCATGTGGACCACAAACTGTGGCTCCTGATCAGTGAAACCAAACCTCTCCTGTCCAGACGCTGACCTGTCGTTAACA